CTGCAATTGAGTAATGAACACACAACACAAAAAGAGATAATTTGTGAGAACAAAACATGAAAGAAGAGGAGTAAAAGGCTGTAACTTATATAGGCAAATGAAGATGAGATGCTATTAGAAGAAAAGGGACTGTTTTATCTATGAGACAATATATACAAACCTCATGGTAACCACAAAATAAAAATGTAGAGCTGAGATACAAAACATAAAATAAGAGGGAAAAAAATAATAATAAAAGGAAACATTGTAGAAAACCATCAAACTAAAATAGCACACAGAAACACAAAAGAAAAGAAACACTGGCGATACAGAGCAATCAGAAAATAAAATATATAATGGCAGTGGTAAGTCCTCATCATAAATCAATAATCACCCTAAGTGTAGATGGACTTAATTTACCAGTTTAGTAAGTGAATAGATTAGAAAACAAGACCCAACTACAGGAGACCCATCTCAGCTCCAAAGACAAACAAGCTCAAAGGGAAGTGGGGAAAGACAAGAAAATGGTACCCAGAGAAAAGTGAACACAGCTATACTCATATCAGACAAAACAGATGTCAAGACAAAAAAATAACAAGAGACAAAAATGGACATTTTATAATAATATAGGGAACGATCCATCAAAAATACATTCATTTAATAATATATATGCACTCAACCTAGGAGCACCAAAATATCAAAAGTACTTATTAACAGACCTAAAGGGAGAAATGAATAGTTACACCATAAATAATAGTAGATTATAATACCCACTTACTCAATGAATAGATCATCTAGATAGAAAGTGAACAAAATAATAATAATAATAATAATAATAATAAGCCTTAAATCAACATTAGATCAGATGGCCCTGGCCAGTTTTTCTCAGTGGTTAGAGCATCATCTCACAGATCAAAGGGTCGCAGGTTCAATTCCCAGTCAAGGGCATGTGCCTAAGTTTCACATTCAATCCCCAGCCGGGTCAGGGTTGTGTGGGAGGCAGCCAATTGATGTGCCTCTTTCACATTGATGTTTCTCTCTTTCTCTCCCTCCCTCCCTTCTACTCCATCTAAAATATCAATGGAAAAATATCCTCAGGTAAAGATAAACAAAACAAAGAAACATTAGATCAGGTGGACTTAATATACATTTATAGAACTTTCCACCTCAAAGTGACAGAATACACATTCTTCTCAATTGCACTTGGAACATTCTCAAGGATAGACAATATGTTGGGACACAAAAGAGTCTCAGTGAATTTAAGAAAATTAAAATATCAGCATCTTTTTCAACCACAATAATATGAAACTAGAATCAACTACAAGAAGAAAGCTGGAAAATTACAAATATGTGAAGGTTAAACAACATGCTATCAACAAGTAATGGGTCAATAAAAAATCAAAGAAAAAATCAAACAATGCATAAAGACAAATGAAAATAAAAATACAACATACTGCCCTGGCCAATGTCACTCAGTTGGTTGGAGCATCATCCCAGTTCACTGAAAGGTGGTGGGTTTGATTCCCAGTCAGGGTACATACCCAGGTTGTGGGTTCAATTCCTGGTCTGGCTCAATGGAAACATGTCCTTGAGTGAGGATTAAAAAAAAAAAGTTTAAAAAAATGTATTAAAAAAAAAATCTTTGGGATGCAGCCAAAGGGGTACCAAAAGAGAACTTTATAGCAACACAGAGCAACCTCAAGAAACAAGAAAAATCTCAAATGAACAATCTAACATCACACCTTAGGAAACTAGAAAAAGTATAAATGAAGCCCAAAGTTATTAGAAGGATGAACATAATAAAAATCAGAGCAGAAATAAATGAACTGGAGAATAAAAAGACAATAGAAAATAAACTTTCTATTGGTTCTTTCAAATGATAAAACTTTAGTGAGAATCACTGAGGAAAAAAGACATAAGAGTCTAATAAAATCAGAGATGAAAGAGAAGTTATTACAGATACCACAGAAATTCAGTGATTATAAAAGAATACTATGGGGAATTCAAAGATAGTAGCAGAGTACGTGGAAATTACACTCACCTCCTCCCAGAACCAAACTGGAATTACAACTAAGTTATAGAACAATCAACCTGCATAACCAACTGAAGGCTAGCTGAACAGAACTTTGATAACTGAGGACATACCGAAGAAGCCACCTGGAGACCGGTAGGAAGAATGGAGATGTGGAAATTGCTGGCCCCGCACTAATGTGTGGGTGTTGAGTATGCAGAGGAATATCTTAACTGCAAAGGGTCCCGAGGAGCAAAGGCTCTCAGCCCCCCACAGGGCTCCTAAGCCAGGAGCACCAGAGCTGGAAAAAGAGGCCCATATATCATCTGCCTGTAAAAATCCTTGAGGAATTCATTTGCCAAGGGCAGCCAGGAGGCTACCAGAAACCCAGGCACCCTCTTAAAGGGCCAACACACAAAATTCACAAGTACTCACCCTGGGCTCCATGGGAGGGATGGCAACTCAGAGCAAACTGGAGTCACACAGGGAGATATTGGGTTATATGGCTTCAAGGAGTGCTAGAGGGACAGCCACCATTGTCCCTGTGCTGAGCCCCTCTCCCATGCTGCTCACAGATGCCATCTGTCCTTGGTTGAGCGCTCTCCTCTGTAAGGCATCAGCCTGGAGAGTGGCACTAGCCCCACAGTCCCGACTCTGTGCGGCCCAGCCCTGCCAAGCTCCTGCCCTGTGAAGGGATTAGTTAGCTGCAGGCAGCCTGGCCTGCTGTAGTTTTTCTTATAAGGCTCTCCAAGAAGTTGTTCAGACTCAGGGGGTGTCAGAGACACACCAGCAGAGACTAAGTCATAAGGCTCTGGGGCAAAGCCATTTTTTCCCCACCAGCCTGACTGGCACTGCCCCCACTCCCATGGCATCAGCCTGGGGATATCCACTTTCCCACCCTCCCATTCCCTGTGGATCCACCCTGCTAAGCTGTCATTTTTTGCAGATGAAATAATACTGTATATTGAGAACCCTAAAAATTCCATCAAAAACTACTGGTACTGATAACTGAATTCAGTCAAATAGCAGGATACAAAATAAATCAGTTGCATTTTTATACACCAATAATGAACTATCAATAAGGGAAACTAAAAAAAAAACAAAAAAACAATCTGCCCTGGCCGGTTTTTCTCAGTGGTTAGAGCGTCAGCATTTGGTCCAGAGAGACCTGGGTTCGGTTCCCACTAAGGGCATGTACCTTGGTTGCAGTCCCCAGCCCTGGTTGGGTCGTGAGGGTGGCAACCACTCGATGTGTCCCTTTCACGTCGATGTTTCTCTTTACCTCTCTCCCTCCCACTCTATCTGAACAAAAAATGGAAAAATGTCCTCGGGTGAGGATTTAAAAAATAATAAATAAATAAATAAATCCCATTTCCATTTGCTTCAAAAAAATAAAATACCTAGGAATAAATTTAACCAAGGAGGTAAAAGATCTGTACTCAGAAAATTATAAGACACCGAAGAAACAAACCAAAGAAGATACAAATAAACAGAAGCATATACCATATTCATGGATAGGAAGAATTAACATTATTAAAATGTCCATACTGCCCGAAGCAATCTATAGATTCAATGCAATCCCTATCAAAATATCAATGGCATTTTCCACACAAATAGAACAAAAATCCTAAAATTTGGGTAAAGGGTGTCAAATATATAAGAAAAAGAAACTAGACTTTCGGTGGTGAACACACAATAGCGTATACAGATACCAAATTCAAATTCAGGTTGTTCACCTGAAATTTATATAATGTTATTAACCAATGTTACCTCAGTAAAACTAAGGTGTTACCATAACTGAAGAACAGTAATGTATGTGTAATCTGAAAAATGCATAACTTATAACTCAAGTGTTATGAATTTGTCAGTCCTTCCCCCCCGCCCTACCCCCCCGTCAATGTTCAGAGCAGAGGATGGATATTCTCCTTCTTATGCTTCAAGCAGATTAATAAAATGAACACATTTTTGGCTCCCAAATTAGATAAAAATGTATCTTGAAAAATCTAGCATGCCCTTCAACACCCCCCCAGCTTTATTGAGGTATAATTGACATATAAAAAAACTGCACATATTTCAAGTATACAATCAGATGTGTTTGACACATCTATACACCCACGAAGCCATCACCACAATCAAGATGGTGAACATATCCATCACTGCCAAGTTTCCTCGTGTTCCTTTGTGATCCCATGCAATGCCATGTCCACAGCCCTCACTCCAGGCAATCACTGATCTGCGTCTATCACTACAGATCGGTTTTCATTTTCTAGCATTTTATATAAATGGAATCATAAAGTGTTCTTTTTTTGTCTGTTTTTTTTTTCTTCAGTATACTTTTTTAGTATTTTTCCATGTTGCTGTGTATATCAATAGTTCATTCCTTTTTATTATTGGGTAGGATTCCATTCTGTGGATATATCTCATTTTATTCCCCCAAACCTTTGATTTATAATTGAACCTTTGTGAATGAACATATGCCTTCCTACAGAATACCATGAAATCTCTTGTCACCGGTAAAACTGATCAAGCCACATTTCTGAAGCCACAAAGCTGAGGACAGAGCTGAGAGGGAAGGAGTCTCCCACTGAGGGTGGGATACTCCCTGGAGGGTCAGTTTCTCCAGCCTCCAGATACCATCTTCCAATCACAACAGCATGGAATTAGGAATTTGCCATTTTCACTCTAAAACAATATACAGCGAAGTGTCCTGATTAATAATGATTAAACTGTCTGGCTGGTGTGGCTCAGTGGTTGAGCAGCAGCCCATGCACCAAGAGGTTGCCAGTTCGATTCCCGGCCAGGCCACATGCCCAGCTTGTGGTCCTGATCCCGGGTGGGGGGCGTGCAGGAGGTGGCCAGTCAGTGTTCTCTCTCACCAATGTTTCTCTCTCTCTCTCTCCCTTTCACTTCCTCTCTCTCTCAAATCAATAAAAGAGAAAAATTTAAATGATTAAACTGAAGGTAAGACTCATTCTTTTTCTTCCAAACCTCAACCCTCTTGTTATTTTAGACCTCCGAGGGGACCTGTAAGGCATCAGTGAAGATAGCCATTGACACGGGGTACCGGCATATTGATGGGGCCTACGTCTACGAGAATGAGCACGAAGTGGGGGAGGCCATCAGAGAGAAGATGGCAGAAGGAAAGGTGAAGAGAGAAGATATTTTTTACTGCGGAAAGGTGAGCACTCCCCTCACCCTCCATCTCCTCATATCAATGGTGGACCCGATGTCACTTTTCTCTGCCAAAGAATGTTGGACTCACCAAGAGGAGTGAATTTTCCATTGCCAAATTCCTTACTCTTGCCTAGAATTTAGGGACTAATCAATCACTTGAAGTAGGCTTAGGGCAAAGCTCCTTCTTCACACATGGGCGTGGATTTGAAACAATATGGAAAGAAGCAAGGCCACAAGCAAAAATTGGGAGAGTGGGGGGAGAGGAGGAGATTGTTCCTATTACAGAAGCATTTGCTAAAGCTTTCTTTAAAAGGTCAGACTTCGCCTGACAGGCTGGTGTGGCTCACTGGACTGAGAGGTCCTGATTTGATACCCGGTAAGGGCACATGCCTGGGTTGCAGGCTCAATCCCCAGTAGGGGGCGTGCAGGAGGCAGCCAATCAATGTTTCTCTCTCACATTGATGTTTCTATCTCTCTCCCTTTCTCTCTCTCTCTAAAAAAATTCAACAAAAACATATTTTTGAAAAAGGGCAGACTTCTTTTTCTTTTGTGTATGACTATTTGTTCATAGATCACTAATTGTTATTGAGTTATAATTTACATACCATAAAGGTTACCATTTTAAATCAGTGGTTTTTAATATATTCACAAAAATTGCATGACCATAACCACTACCTAATTTTAGAATATGTTGATTGCTTCAAAAAAAAACCCATGCTCACTAGCAATCACTTCCCAATTATTCCTCTCCCCCAGTCACTAGCAACCATTATCTACTTTTATTTCTCTATAGTTTTTCTATTTTGGACATTTCATACAAATGGAATCATACAATACGTGGCCTTTTGTGTCTAACTTCTTTCACTTCGTATAATTTTTTTTTCTCTATTGATTTGAGAGAGAGAGGGAGGGAGAGGGAGAGAGAGATAGAAACATCAATGAGAGAGAACATTGATTGACTGCCTCCTGCATGCCCCCCACTAGGGATCTGGCTGACAACCTGGGCATGTGCCCTGACCAGGAATCAAACCGGTGACCTCTCGGTGCATGGATCGATACTCAACCGCTGAGCCACACCAGCCAGGCTTAGTATAATATTTCTAGGTCCATCCAAATTGTAACATGTATTAAAATATCATTTCTTTTTATGGCCAAATAATATTCCATTGTATGGATATACCACATTTGGTTCAGATCACTACCTTATGAGCAATTTAAACCTCCAGTGTTAGTAATCACAATCCATTTAAGGGCAATCAGAAAGATAAAGCATCCTGATTAAAATAAAAGCCAGTGGGAATACAGAATGTATATTTATAGGCAGCTCTGCAGGAACAAAGCTGTAAAACTTTATATTTGTAATACCATTCTCCTGAGGGTTCTAAAGACAAAAAGATATTGCTTCTGGTTTCACCCACTCCTCAGAGTTCCCCTCCTCCCAGCACCCCACTCAGGCTCCTTCCAAGTTCTCCAGGGATCTGTGATTCCCCAAATCACCAGCCACTTCTGGGTAATGATTCCAAGGGGTGCCATGAAGCCACTGTCCCCAAAATATCAGCCTGAAACTTTTCACTTTATTATTATTTTATAATTCTTATTCCTAAAGATTTTACTATGGCACAGCCTCTCATTAGAGTAAAACATTAAACTTTAAACACGTGCTCTCCAAATGTTTCTGTAGAAGAGTAAACTTGAATTTACATCCTGAGGACCTATGCCAAAGCAGCCAGCCCCAAGCCAGATATATATAGTTTTATATATATAATATATATAATTATATATGTATATAATTTTATGTATATAATTTTTTTGTTAATCCTCACCCAAGGATATTTTTCCATTAATTTTTAGATAGAGTGGAAGGGAAAGAAAGCAAGAAAGCGAAACATTGACGTGAGAGAGATACATCAATTGGTTGCCTCCTGCACAACCTTGACCAGGGCCAGGGATCAAACCTGCAACCCAGACATGTGCTCTTGACCAGGAAATCAAACCTATAGCCCTTTGGTCCGTGGGCCAACACTCTAACCACTGAGCCAGACTGGTCATGGCTAAAGCCAGGAATATTATGAAAACTTTGACTTATCTTAAATTCTTTTTTTAAACTTTTGCATTGTCTTCATAATTTATTCTTGTTTGTTTCATGTACGAATGAGGCTTTAAATAACTACCAAGAAAAATGAACCCCCAATTTTCCTTCTTGTCTCTGTGGTAAACAGTTACAGCTGTTGCAAAATCTCTATCATGTTGGAAAAATTGAACCGAATTAAATCAACTGTTTCATAAAGTTGCTATGAGTTAACATTTACAAAATACTTAAACAGTACCTGTTATATAAAAAAAAAAATCAAATTTTATTATTTCTGCTTGCCTTAATCTGTGACCAAAAAAGTACAGAAATTTAGAACTTTTTTCCTAAAGAAATCTTTCAGGAAATTTGATGCTTCAAGAAAATGTACTAGTTATCCCGAGACATGAATACCCCTCAGCAACCTATGCTGTACAGACTTGAAGCACACACATGCCCCAATTTGACAATCCAAGCCCTAACCTTTCATTATCTAACACTTTTGAGATTAAGTGATTTATTTTTCCTTTAGTTCTTGTTAACCTACCTAAGTTTATTTTGTTAACTTAATTTTTTTCAGCATTATGGAGACATAATTGACATATAACATTATGTGTATTTAAGGTGTACAACATGTTGATTTGAAACACTTATATATTGCAAAATTATTACCACCATATTGTTAGCTAACACCTCCAACACCTCACATAATTACTATTCCTTCTTTGTGGTTAGAACATTTAACACCTACTCTCTCAGCAACTTCCAAGTATATAATATGGTATTGTTAACTATAATCACCATGCTGTACATTAACTCCCCAAAACTTATTCATCTCATAACTGGAAGTTTGTGCCCTTTGACCAACATCTCCCCGTTTCCATTCATGAAGACCTGTCTAATAGTTGGCCTTGTGGGATAAGGCTGGGGTCTCCTACCCTGCCAGACATCCAGTAACTTCTTAGTAAGAATTGGCAGAATTATGCCCAGCCAGTGTGGCTCAGTGGTTGAGCATCAAACCAGGCACCAAGAGGTCACCGGTATGATTCCTGGTCAGAGCATATGCCCAGGTTGTGGGGCCCAATCCCCAGTGGGGGGCATGCAGGAGGCGGCCAATCGATGTTCTCTCTCATCAATGTTTCCATCTCTTTCTTCCTCTCCCTTCTTCTCCCTCTAAAATCAATAAAGAAGAATAAATAAAAAACCATCATCAGAATTTCCCTGGGGTCTGAGTAGGACCAAATGAGAACAAGAGAGCAGTGACAGGCAATCTAAATCTTTGCAGTCAATGAAAATGTCACCAGCTTCTGCACAGTCTGTCACAATGCGAAAGATACAGTAAAGACTCCCACACAGCCATATTGCGTGCTCACGTGAAGCACATCTTTTACCAGAGGGACATGAAAATACAGTATCTGGCCAGGTCAGCACAACTATGCAGATACCTGTTCCCTAGTTACGCCATGAGGAGAAGTTTAGGTGCTGAGAGCCAAGTAGGAAATTAGCACTGAGCAGAGGAGGACTTGGTCTCCAAATTAGGCCCTCTGTGGTTCAGGTGGATCTTTAAGTCTCTGGTCCTATATCCTTTTTCTAAAATAATTTTTTTATCTTCCAATTACAGTTGATGTACAATATTATATTAGTTCCAGTGATTAGACATTGATATAACTTGCAAAGGGAATACCCTAATAAATCTACACCCACCTGACAACGTACACAGTTATTACAATATTAGTGACTGCATTCCCTATGCTGTACATCCCCATGACTATTCCGTAGACACCAATCTATATTTCTTGACCCTTCGATCTTTTCACCCACCCCCAACCCTCCCCCCCCTCTGGCAACTGTCAAAATGTTCTCTGCATCTGTGAGTCTGTTTCTGTGTCTGCTTGTGCATTGATTTTGTTTTCTTAATTCCATATGTAAGTGAAATCATATGGCATTTGTCTTTCTCTGTCTGACCTCTGTCACTCAGCACAATACCCTGCAGGTCCATCCATGCTGCAGCAGATGGAAAGATTACTTTCTTTTCTTTAACGGCTGAGTCATATTTCATTGTATATATGCACCACATCTTCTTTATTGACTCATCTACTGATGGACACTTAGGTTGCTTCCACATCTTGGCTATTGTGAATAATGGTGGGATGAACATAGGGATGCAGATTCTGGTACTATATTCTGATAAAGTTACACTATGGATGTCAAAAGTTATATCAGCTTTTCCTATATTCCAATAAAATTTCAGCATAAACATATTTTTGTGCAATAAAATAAATGAATAAAATGTGTATGAAGGCCTTGTAAAAAATAAAATGTGGTATTGTTATGTTTAAAAAAAATAGTGTGGATGTTAGTCAACTATCCCCTTTTTATTCTTTCAGCTTTGGGCTACAAATCATGAGCCAGAGAGGGTTCGTCCATGCTTGGAGAAGACACTCAATGCCCTCCAGGTAGATTATGTCGATCTTTACATCATTGAAATACCCATGGCTTTTAAGGTGAGTTCAGACACCTACAGGTGTGGCTTCTGCTCTTTGGCAACCACAAGGCAGCAGCTATGTGCATGAAGCTCATTCATTACTTAGCACCATAGAACGTTATCATTTTGCTACCGTAGATCAGACTGCACTGACTTAGCCCAACAGATGCCCCAAAAGATTATGTGTAATAGACTCAGACTTGGATCCCATGTTTAATTCAAAATCCAATGCACTTTTTATCATATCATGTCTTCACAACTGTAGTGTAAATTAACCTCTCTCTATCGAACCATCACGTGTCCCCAAACGATAGTCCACATTTCATTTGTCCAGCAGCCAGCCACACCCTTCTTCCCACTCACATTGTCATGACAATGTCCCTGCACAACACAATGCAAAATAATGTATACAACTGAAAACTCACTTACCTTCCATCCCCTCCAAAGGGGGATAACCTAAAGAATGGTCAGGCCGCCCTGGCCAGTTTGGCTCAGCGGTTAGAGCGTCGGCCTGCGGTCCAGAGAGACCCGGGTTCGGTTCCCGCTAAGGGCACGTACTTCGGTTGCAGTTTGTCCCCGGCCCTGGTTGGTCGTGCGGGTGGCAGCCACTCGATATGTCCCTTCACATCGATGTTTCTCTCTCTCTCTCCCTTCCTCACTCTCCCTCCCACTCTATCTGTACAAAAAAATGGAAAAATGTCCTTGGGTGAGGATAAAAAAAAAAAAAGAATGGTCAGGCCTTTGGGAGTCAGCAACAAGAACAGGGCGATCACTATTCCTCTAGTTCGAACGCACCCTGCCTTAAACTTTCTAAATCTATGGACTCAGTGTTAATTTAACCACAAACACATCCCATATACACTGCTGAAGAGAAGTCACTGCTTTAAAATGTCACTGAGGGAAGGAGAAACTGAAAATAAAACTGGTCACTTGTGCACGAAGCAAATCAGATCCTGCTGGTCAGGGAGAACAAGGATTCTCTGCCACAGCAGTGGCCAGAATTCTTTTATACCACCAACCTGGCCACCCCTGTTCTGGTCTCTGAAAGCACTTTCCTTGATGACTGTCCTCTATGCTTACATCCAAGATGGACTTCGGGAAGGATTCCCCTTTTGCATCCTCCTTCACACAGACACAGGTTTGAAGGCTTCACAAGGGCCTTGGTAATCAAAGGCTTTTATTGGTCAGGTTGGGATTTCATGGACAAGGCAATATCCCTTAAAATGTTGCTAGGCTTCAGTAAATTCACATTCCGTCAGCTCCATGAAAGAGTAATTAAAACTAGACATCTTACAGGGTTGCTTTCTTGTAGGTAATCCTTGGCCCGTGGTTTCGCGTCTTAGTAAAGAACCTGCTAGTTCTGCTCATCTGCTCAATCCTCAGCTTCATGGCCACCATCTGGCCATTAGAATAAAAAACCACGCCCTGGCCAGTTTGGCTCAGCGGTTAGAGCGTCGGCCTGCGGTACAGAGAGACCCGGGTTCGGTTCCCGCTAAGGGCACGTACCTCGGTTGTAGTTTGTCCCCGGCCCTGGTTGGTCGTGCGGGTGGCAGCCACTCGATGTGTCCCTTCACATCGATGTTTCTCTCTCTCTCTCTTCCTCTCTCTCCCTCCCTCTCTGTCTGAACAAAAAAATGCAAAAATGTCCTCGGGTGAGGATAAAAAAAAAGAAAAAGAATAAAAAACCAGGATGGCACAGATGGTGTGTTCCTTGCACTCAGTCTGCCTGTCATTGGATGATGCGCCTTTGCTGGGTAGGGCGTTCATGGCCTGAGACCTTGCCTTCCGAGAGAGATGGACAAGGATTCTCCCAAAGCCCAATTTTACTTCCCTCTAGGATTCTTACCTTCCTGTCTTGGCTGACACTGACTTTTCTAACCATAGAAGGCTCAGAGCTGAAACTTTGGGTGGCATCTAGAAACAGAAAGTACCTGTTTCAGCAAACTATGATCTTACTGCTCATCTTAGAAACCAAGTTACAATAAACACATTTATCTTTCTTCGGGACATGACTGAATACTGCAAAAATGGCCAACAAACTCTAACACCCAATATTTTTCAACTAACTCCCCTAAAGTGCCAAGTAGGCCCATTGTCGTCAGAGTTTCAAGACACAACAAGGCAACAATTTAACCAGATGTTATGCAATTGCATAGCAAGAATATAGCCAGTTTTCAGCTGGAGAATCCTCCCTGTCCACAATCCCATACTGACCTAGCCAATTCCACATTTTTTTGTCCATTACTTGCCATACCCCCAAACCTTTGTATTAGTCAAGACTTTTACTATAAATGGCAGAAATCCAATTCAAATTGGCATTAGCAAAAAAGGGGAACTAAGAATTCCAAGGGATATGGGACTCAGGCACAACTGGATCCAGGAGCTCAAACTATGTTTCTACACTCTGGCCCTTTCTCTATCCCTGTGTTTTGATGGCTTCATTCTTAAAAATCCCTTTCTACATGATGGCAAAATGCCCACTGACATGCCAAACCTACCTTATCAATACAACTTAAGAATTCATTGAAAGAGAGACTACACATTAAACCTCATAGAGAAACACTGATTAGTTCTGCTTGGGTCATGTACCTATTGCTGACTAATGTCTGTGTAAGGCTATGGGGGCTGATTGACATCTGCAGCCAAGAGTCGGAGCTGGGTCAGCCCATACAAACAATGGGGAATGAGCTCCTCTGAAGAAGAAGGTATAAGGACAGTAGGAAGCAAAACACCAGATCCCCACTGCATTCATTAAGTAGAGGTCACTTAGCAAGCACAGTGACAGGAAGCATGGGCTCCAGAGCCAGGCTGCCCAGTTTGAATCCCAGCTCTGTCACATGTGAGCCAGATGACTTGGTCAAATTATGACCCAATCTCTTTACACATCACCTAAACATGGTACCGTGGAAAGAGTGTGGACTTTGGAGTCGCACAGAAGAGGGACTAACTTGCAGCTTTATTACTGACTTGCATAGTCACTTCGATATTCCTGAACTTCCACCTCATTACCGGTAAATCGGCGACAATAATAACTTGCCGAGTGGTGTGAGGAGTTATTCAAATTATATATGTGAAATTACTGGCACAATGCCTGACATTTCATAGATAAAAAAAGGTAAGATTATGAAATGTTCGGGTGGAAATATGTATCCCAATATAGAGAATACCTTCACAGAAGAGAAAGTGGATGCCCCAGGCAATGAAGTAGCTGACTCAGATTTACTTTTTTTTTTTATCCTCACACGAGGACATTTTTCCTTTTTTTTTTTTTTTTTTTTTCAGATAGAGTGGAAGGGAAAGAGAGGAAGAGAGAGAGAAACATCAATGTGAAAGGGACACATCAAATGGCTGCCACCCGTACAACCTAACCAGGGCCGGGGACAAACTACATGCCCTTAGCGGGAACCGAACCTGGGTCTCTTGGGACCGCAGGTCGACACTCTAACTGCTGAGCCAAACTGGCCAGGGCCTGACTCAGATTTAAAATCCATCAGAACTGGGACCACATCCCGGGTCCCCTGATGCGAATTCCATATTTGTCCTCCTATACTACAGCCCCTTCTGCCTTATCCTTTTTATTTTTTAATTTTTTTATCCTCACCCGAGGACATTTTTCCATTTTTTGTTCAGATAGAGTGGGAGGGGGAAGAGAGAGAGAGAGAAACTTCGATGTAAAGGGACACATTGGGTGGCTGCCACCTGCACGACCAACCAGGGCCGGGGACAAACTGCAACCGAGGTACGTGCCCTTAGCGGGAACCGAACCCGGGTCTCTCTGTACCACAGGCCGACGCTCTAACCGCTGAGCCAAACTGGCCAGGGCTGCCTTATCCTTTTTAAGTGATGAATGACATTTGTAAAAGATAAATGAAGTTACTGCTGAACAGGAATGAGAATCAATAGCATGGGTTTTAAAGAGTTGCATCGTTGTCCTAATAATGACTTACAGTGGGAGCAGGAGAAGAGGGAAAAGACCATGGGGTTGTTCCAACGAGGGATTAGTCAAGTAGACACAGCGGAAGCTTAAGAGAAACCTCCTAGAAATGTCTAACATGGGTTCAGGCATGATAAGGACTTAATTAAAATCTGGGAAAGTAAAAATCATTTAGCACAGTTCATGATAGAGGCAGAAAACTATTCCAGAACAGAAGTCAAGTTGGGACATACAAAAGGCAAGCTGCATGGAGGGAGACTGGAGGGGCAATGTGGGCTGTCGGGTTGAGAGGTCAGAGAGCTTGGAAACGGGACAGAAAGGGTAATTAACATGACTGTGTGGCCCTGAGGAATAAGGAGCCCTTTTCCTCCCCTAAGTGACTCAGGAGGAAATAGAGCCAAAATGGTCTTTGCTAAAGAAAGTGTTATCACCAGGGGGAAGTTTTGTTCAAGTGAGATGGCGGAAGAAAAGAAAAAATTTAAATATAATGAATTTTGTCCAATTGCTTGATTTTCAATAAAAATTCCTATTATCAAGGTCTACAAAGACTTCCATGCTCCAACCATATCCTGTAGACACTTGATCCTCTTATTTGATCTTTTTCAACAGAGTTGACCACTGTCTCCTCTACACATTTTCTTCTTGTGGCTTCTAGAATATCACCCTCCCATGAATCTTTGGCAGATTCTTCTCTGCCAACCTCCAAGTGTTATGCCCAGCACCTCTCTTCTCAATATTTTTGTCTTACCGAGCCACACTATCTCTATAGGTGATCTTATATAGTTGCATGGACTGAATACTATTTTATATGCTGAGGGCTACCAAATTTTGTCGTCAGCCATGACCTCTTTCTGAGACTTTGCTGTTCAAATAACCTCAATGAAACACCTGAACATTTGGTCATTTCCAACTCAAAATATCCCAAACAAAACTCTTGATTGCTAACCCCACCTCAGGAAATGGTTACCCCCATCCCCCCAAGGAGCCTAGGAATAACCTTTTGTTTCTCTCTAGTCCATTCCCAAGCCCATAAGAAATGGGTCCCGTTTTTAGATATAGCCCAAAAGGAGAAATCTGAGAGACAACGTTCCACGCTACAGTTAGCCGTGGTTCAGAAAGGATCCCCCAAAAACCAGAGAAGGAATTTGACATTCAGATAATGTGTGAAGTAGGAAAAAGAAATGACGGACTCCGGGAAGGTCCAAAAAGGAAAGGAAATGAACCAGTGGGCAACTTAGCCAGAACTGAGAAGTAGCATGGTGTGCTGTTCGCAACGGTGGCAAGGCTAGACGGCCAAGCACTGAACCTGAAAGTCCTAATTCTCAACCTCTACTCTTTTTTTATGAGTAATTTTGTCATTAGGAGAGAAGTTCATGCCCTGGCCAGTTTCGCTCAGCGGTTAGAGCGTCGGACTGCAGTCTGGAGGAGAGAAGTTCATGGCTTAAGAACAACAAAAATCTGTCAATAAATACAGGGAAAATGAATGCCAGGGTAGGAAAATGAGATTAATGTATCATATTTTGGAAAACTGAAAGAATTTCTGGACAGTCCCACAAAGGTGATATATATATATATATATATATATATATATATATATATATATATGTAAACATGTAAATAATTAAACTTGAATTGCTTTCGCATGGCTAGGGTATATTGGCATAATGACAATTCAAATTTCATAATTTCAATTCCCAGATACAAATAAAATGAATTACACTTGTTCTTTTTTTTTTTTTCCAGCCTGGAGATGAAGTCTATCCTAGAGATGAGAACGGCAGATGGTTATATCACAAGACAGATCTGTGTGCAACTTGGGAGGTAAGTTCAAGTGGGCCTTTTATTCTTTTATTTTAAAAGACTACATTTTTAAATTGTGATCTGATTATTCCTTTGATTTATGAAGAGATTCAGCCTGTACTCTCCCATTCCAAACTCCAAAGGCTGGGAATCTCTCTCCTGAGTGCAGTATCTCTTTCTAAGGGATGTCCCCTCTCGGTACCAGCTGCACATCTGAAGGGTGGAGGTGTTCTGGGAGAGAACAGGCAGTTACTGGTTTCCGGTGCCTGGGGCTCTCTATCTGAGAGATCATATACTCACTCCTGACCTCAGTGGAGCAGCCTGGAGTCTGGTGTTCCCCTCGAAGGGTCTGCCTGACAGGGTAGCCAGTATTCCCCAGAGAAAATAAGTTCACAGCTCAGAATAACAAGGTATTATTTCTCAAGGAGACAACATAACCCCATTACAAACCCAACATAAACACAACAGAGGACCAAGAACTTTTAAATGAGCCAATTAACATATTAAAGGAGATAAGAAAAGATATTAGCAATGTGAAACAACAAGAAGAAAACATTTTTAAAAAACAAGTATTAAGCCCTGGTTGGTATGGCTCAGCGGTTAGAGCGTCTACCCATGGACCAGAGAGTCCTGGGTTCGGTTCCCACTAAGGACATGTACCTCGGTTGCAGTTTGTCCCCCGCCCTGGTTCAGGTCGTGTGGGTGGCAACCACTCGATGTGTCTCTCTCACATCGATGTTTCTCTCTCTCTCTTCCCCCCTCTCTCCCTCTCACTCTATCTGTAGATAAATGAAAAATGTCCTTGGGTGAGAATAAAAAATAATTTAAAAAAACAAACAAGTATTAATAATTAGGAAAATTAAAAAACACTCAAGCCCTGGCCGGTTTGGCTCAGCGGTTGGAGCGTCGGCCTGCGGTCCGGAGAGACCCGGGTTCGGTTCCCGCTGAGGGCACGTACCTCGGTTGCAGTTTGTCCCCGGCCCTGGTTGGTTGTGCGGGTGGCAGCCACTCGATGTGTTCCTTTCACATCGATGTTTCTCTCTCTCTCTCTCTGTTCCTCTCTCTCCCTCCCACTCTACCTGAACAAAAAATGGAAAAATGTCCTCGGGTGAGGAAAAAAAAACAAAAACACTCAAAAAAATTTTTTAAATAAATAAAATAAAAAACACAATGCAATAGATGGGATAAAAGTGAAATGAATACAGATTTAAAAAAAAAAGATTGAATTGAAAGATCAGAATAAGGAAATCTCCCAGTATAAAGAAGAAAAGGACAAGAAAAATATTAAATATAAAAGAAAAGCTACCCTGGCCAGTTTAGCTCAGCGGTTGGAGCGTCAGCCTGCGGTCCAGAGAGATCCGGGTTCAGTTCCCACTAAGGGCATGTGCCTCGGTTGCAGTTTGTCTCCGGCCCTGTCGTGTGGGTGACGACCACTCAATGTGTCCCTTTCATGTCGATGTTTCTCTCTCTCTCTCTCCCTCCCACTCTATCTGAATAAAAAAAAAAATTAAAAAATGTCCTCAGGTGAGGAAAGAAAAGAAAAGAAAAGAAAAGAAAAGAAAAAGAAAAGAAAAGAAAAGAAAAGAAAAGAAAAGAAAAGAAAAAAGAAGAGAAAAGAAAAGAAAAGATGTACAGGATAAAATAAGAATTTTCAGTACTCACATAATAAAAATCTCAGAACAAAAAGGAAAAGAGGTAATATTTGAAGGGGGTGGGGTGGGGGGAGGAGATATTGAAAGGGCACCGATTACCAAAGAGGGAAGAGAAGGAAACCCATACCTAGACACATCACTGAGAAATTTCAGAATATTAAATATAAAGAGAAAATGTTAATGCTTACAGAGTATAGCAAACAAGTCAGTAAAGGAGACAAAATAGAATAATAAAAGATAATCGAAGAGAAAGCAGGGAAAGAAAAACCGAAGGAAAATGAATAGGTGGGGAAATTGAAAACAAGTATCAATATGGGAGATTTAAACTCAGTGACATCAATAATCACAGTATATATAGATAGTTGAAACAACCCAATTAAAAGGCAGAGGTTGTCAGAATGAACAAAAAGCAAAACCCCAATATACGAGAATCCCATTTTATTATTATTTTTAAATATGTTTTTATTGATTTTTTTAGAGAGAGGGGAAGGGAAAGAGAGATAGAAACATCGATGTGAGAGAGAAACATCGATCGGCTGCCTCCTGCATGTCCCTACTGGGGATCAAGCCTACAACCCGGGCATGTGCCCTGACTGGGAATCGAACTGGGACCTTTCAGTCCATGGGACAATGCTCAATCCACTGAACCACACAGGCTAGGCTGAGAATCCCATTTTAAATAAAAACATACAAACATGTTTAAAGTCAAAGGTTAAAAAAAAGTAAGAGGATAGGAAAAGATATACTAGGCTAACAGTAATCAAAAGAAAGCTAGAGTAGCTCTCTTACTATCAACAAAGATTTCAGAGCAGAGTTATTACCAGGGTTAAAAAAGTTTGCTTTATAATAGAAAAGAAATCAGTCCTAAACAGCTATGCACCTAATAACAGAACTCCAAAAATACATGAGGCATAAACTAAGATAACTAAAGGAAAACACAATAATCCACAATTACAATCAGAGAGTTTCAAATCTCCATCCATCTCAATAATTGAGATAAAAAGTAGACAGAAAATCTGTAAATTATAGGAGATTTAAACATTAGCATGCAACTTGACCTAATTGACACGTATAGACTATTGGCCAACATATAACACTATTTTTCAAGTGCACATGAAACATTTAAAGGCCATTTCATGAGCCATAAAATAAATCTCAATACATTCAAAATACTCTAAATATGCAAAGTAGGCTGATTAAAATTGGAATTAAATTTTATATAAAAAAATATATATATATCTGAAAAATCATCAAATATTTTGAAACTAAGACGCATACATGTAAATAACCCATAGGACAAAAAAGAAATAACCAAATCTGTATTTAATCAATATGCTAGCAACACACAATTAGAATTGAATCTTTAAAAACAATATTTAAAAAATTAAAATTAAAAAAGTAAATATTGCCCTGGCCAGTTTGGCTCAGCGGTTAGAGCATTGGCCTGCGGTCCGGAGAGACCCAGGTTCAGTTCCCGCTGAGGGCATGTACCTCGGTTGCAGTTTGTCCCCGGCCCTGGTTGGGTCGTGTGGGTGGCAACCACTCGATGTGTCCCTTTCACGTCGATGTTTCTCTCTCTCTCTCTCTCCCTCCCACTCTATCTGAACAAAATATCAAAAAAAAAAAAAATGTCCTCGGGTGAGGACTAAAAAAATAAAAAAATAAATAAAAAGGTAAATATTTAGCCCTGGCCGGTTTGGCTCAGCGGTTAGAGCATCCGCCTGCGGTCCGGAGAGGCCCGGGTTCGGTTCCCGCTAAGGGCATGTACCTCGGTTGCAGTTTGTCCCCGGCCCTGGTTGGTCGTGTGGGTGGCAGCCACTCGATGTGTCCCTTTCACATCGATGTTTCCCTCTCTCTCTCTTCCTCTCTCTCCCTCCCACTCTGTCTGTACAAAAAATGGAAAAATGTCCTCGGATGAGGATTAAAAAAAAAAAAAAAGTAAATATTTAGAGATAAATTTAACAAAATATGTACAATAAAAATTATAACACATTACTGATAGAAATTTTTCTTTAAATCTTAAGTAAATGGAGAGATACACCATGTACTTTGACCACAACCTCAATTCAGTGAAGATCTTCATTTTCTATAGCGTCAATGCAATCCCAGTGAAAATTTAAATAGAAACTGAAGAGCTGATTTTAACATGTATAGGGAAGTGCAAATGACCCAGAATAGGCAAAACAACTTTGAAAAAGAAGAACAAATTTTTGAGAACTTATGCACACGAATGTTGAGAAAGAGTATACAACTAGAGTAAGCACGACACCGCTGTGTTGGCATAGTCATATAGCTCAATGGAACAAACAGTGCTACAGTAGACACATCCACATATATGGTCAGTTTAATGTCAACAGAAGCGCCGAGCAGTTCGGTGGGGAAAGGTCAGCTGCAGCTGGCGCACACCAGTCGGCAGGAACTGATCGAGCGTATCTCTGCCCAGCACCACATTTGGTGATGTGACGTAAGCTTACTGCACCCTGTGACAGCAGTTACACTACAGAAATCAACAAACACTACGAATCGGGGCACTTTTCCCCCTGGATAACTGGTTGTTAAACATTTATCAGTACTTCCATTGCATAGGCTCATAATCTTGATTGTGGTGATTTTACTGGTACATAATATGTCAACATTTATCAAAATGTACACTTCAAACATATGTCATTATTGCATATCAATAATACCTCAATAAACCTTTTTATTATTTTTTTATTTTTATTTTTTTTTGAGACTAAGTACATTTTATTTTTTTTCCTCTGTTTTTTTAATCTATTTATTTATTAAATTTTATTTTTGTTACAGATGTTTCTCCTTTTTTACCCCATTGACACCCTCCTCCCCATCCCCCCCACCCCGTCCCCGGCTTTGTTGTCCATGTCCATTGGTTATGCACACATGCATTTAAGTTCTGAGGTTTATCTCTTCCCTCCCCCCACCACCCCCTCTTCTGAGGGTTGTCAGTCTGTACCCTACTTCCATGTCAATAAACCTTTTTAAAAAATGTTCCTGGCCCGCCCTGGCCGGTTTGGCTCAGCGGTTAGAGCGTCGGCCTGCGGTCCTGAGAGACCCGGGTTCGGTTCCCGCTAAGGGCATGTACTTCGGTTGCAGTTTGTCCCCGGCCCTGGTTGGTCGTGCGGGTGGCAGCCACTCGATGTGTCCCTTCACGTCGATGTTTCTCTCTCTCTCTCCCTTCCTCTCTCTCCCTCCCACTCTATCTGTACAAAAAATGGAAAAGTGTCCTCGGGTGAGGATAAAAAAAAAAAAAAAAAAAAAAAAAAAAAAAATGTTCCTGGCCAGTTTGGCTCAGCCATTAGAGCATCAGCCCACGGACCAATGAGTCGCAGGTTTGATTCCAGCCAAGGGCATGTACCTCGGTTGCGATTCAGCCCTGGCCCTGGTTGGGTCGTGTGGGAGGCAGCCACCCGATGTGTCCCTTTCACGTCAATGTTTCTCTTTCTCTCCCTCCCACTCTATCTGAACAAAAATGGAAAAAAGTCCTCAGGTGAGAATAAAGAAAAAAAGAAAACTTCTAGAAAAAAGAGTCAGTCATATATAATGAGATTGGTATCAGATTTATTTTTATCTGTATTGTTTTATTATCAGCAGCCCAGGGTACAAAGGAGATAATAGAATAGTATTTTCAAAGTACTGAGGAATAAAGAACACTGACCGTAAACTTTATAGTCAGTCAAACTGGAAAACAAAAATGATGCATAATAAAAACATTTTCTGTCCAGCCGGTTTTGCCCAGTGGTTAGAGCATCGGCCCGCGGACTGAAGAGTCCCAAGTTCGGTTCCCATTAAGGGCACATACCTCACTGCAGTTTGTCCCCAGCCCTGGTTGGTGGTGTGTGGGTGGCAAAGAGTCAATGTGTCTCTCCCACATCGATGTTTCTCTCTCTCTCTTCCTCCTTCTCTCCCTCCTGCTCTATCTGAAGATAAATGCAAAAATGTCCTCAGGTAAGGATAAAAAAATAAAATAAAATAAATTCTACTGTTAACAACATCTATGATGTTAAATAGACTGTTAACATCATAGATGTTGGGGGTGGGGTAAAGAAATTTGGGAGCATGTTAAGTTCTTGTCTTTATTAAAGAAAAGATATAAACTTTAATAAATAAGAAGTATTTAAAAAGAAACAGAAGAAGTGGGAAAACTGAAATAAGAAATTAAGATCATGGAAACAGTCCAAATATATTTATAGTTGCAATAAATATAAACTAAATTCACCTACTAAAAGACAAAGATTGACAGATTAGAATTAGGCACATCTAACCGTAAAGACATGAGGACGCTAAAATTTAAAGGACAGGGAGAAAATCTTATCAGTCAAATACTTATCGGAAAAAGTTGTATAGTTATACTAATATCAGACAACACAGGCTTAAAAATCAAAAGCATTATTAGGGATGAAAAGGGTCCCACATCAAGATAAAAGATTAAATTTACCAAGACGATATACCCATTTTAAACACATATGTACCAAATAAAATATCTCAAAATATAGAAAGCAAAAATTATATGAAAACATATTTTATTTTTAAATTTTAAAATATGTTTTTATTTTTTAGAGAGAGAGAGATAGAAACATCAATATGAGACAGAGATTTATTGATTGGCTACCTCCTGCACGCCCCCCACTGGGGATCAAGCCAACAACATGGGCATGTGCATTGACTGGGAATCCAACCAGGACCTCTCAATCCCTGGGACGACGCTCAACCCACTGAGCCACACCAGCCAGGCTGAAAACATATTTTACAATAGAATATGTGAAGACATTGATAAATCCACAATTGTAGTGGGAAATTTCTGACACATTCCTTTAAATTATTGAGAAGCCAGGAAAAGCTAGGCCTAATTATATACATAATGTGTGTATACGTGTGTGTATACATACATATATGTATGAGAGTGAGACAGAGACAAGAGAGAGATCTGCATCAAAAACAGGATAATACACATTTTTACATATATCAAACACTTACGAATATTAATAATATACATTTGTATACATATATCGGACATCCCGTAAAGAAAGCCTCAACAAATTTCAAGAAATAAGATCATTATATACATTACAAGGGGAAGATATGCTATACAGTACTCCTCCAATTCAACCACACCATTCCTACTTGTCTTCCCCACTTTTTTCCTCCACACAATGCCTCTTGATATACCTAGGGACTTTCCTTTTTGAATAATATATATTAACCCTATAAACATTCATTCTTGCTTGTTTTGGGGCTTCTTTCATGACTCATTGGCATCTACTCTACAGGCCTTGGAAGCTTGCAAAGATGCTGGCTTGGTGAAATCTCTTGGAGTGTCCAATTTTAACCGCAGGCAGCTGGAGCTAATACTGAAAAAACCAGGACTCAAATATAAGCCAGTCTGCAACCAGGTACGGTTTGACCGGGGGTGGGATGTGGCCAGGGATCCCAATAGTTACTTCACAGAAAGAACCCTGGGCTAGGAGTCAGAAAGCTTTGTGGTCACTCTATATAAAACCCCAGGCAAGTTTTTAACTTCTCTCAATTTATGGCTCTTAAATAAAAAAAATTTTAAAAAAAGATTTTAAAGTTTAAATCCAGACAAAAGTAACCCTGCAAAAAAATCTGAAAAAAAAAAATAATAATAATGAGGGTGAACAAGATTTGCCTGATATGAAGATATAGAGACTATTTACAATAATGTAAGATTATTGCAAGGACCAATACAGATAAATTGAAACTAATAAATGTAGAAACAGGTCCAAGTATAATAAAAACTTGATGTAAAATAAAGTAGCACAGCCTAGCTGGTGCGGCTCAGTGGTTGAGTGTCGACCCATGCACCAGGAGGTTGCCGGTTCAATTCCTGGTCAGGGCACATGCCCAGGCTGTGGGTCAAATCCCAGTCGGGGGCATGTAAGAGGCGGCCAATTGATGTTCTCTCTCATTGATGTTTCCATCTCTCTTTCTCCTTCTCTCTTCCTCTCTCTAAAATCAATAAAGAAAAAAAATTTAAATAAAGTAGCACAAACTAGTGACAAAAAATGGATCTCTCAGTAAATGGTGTGGGGGAAATGCCTAGTTACGTGAAAACAATATAGATCTTTGCCTCATATCATACTCCAAAACTAATGTCCCTATGATCATGAATTAAAGGGAAAGAGGAAGTCACTGTAAATACTACATAAAAATTTCAGTTGTCTGGGCCTATGGACAGAAAAGGAAGCCATAGAAAATTTATTTTAAAAATGTTAAATTTAGTAGTATAAAAATCTTAAATTTAAAAATATCAGAAACAAAGAGCTAGCAAAAGTAGATAATTATGTATTTTTTAAATATAATAGAAAACAGAGGTTTATATCTTGTGAATTAAAAGTCTAATAAAAAGCAATGGAAAAAATATAGTGAGGAAAAATATTAAGGTTCAGCAGAAAAATGGGCAAAAGAAATGAATAGAAATTCGCAGAAGACAAATTTTAAGACTGGGAAACATATGAAAATGTTCACTTGTACTAGTAATTATAGAAATTTTCATTTAAGTGTGACGGCCTGCTCCCTCCCCATCCTGGGAGCGCACTGACACCTTTCCCTCCCCCTCTCTTCCCCCACGGGCAGGCATCTCCTACACTCTGAGGGACCCCATGAGACTTGCAACCAGGGGAGCCATGGGAAGTGGCAACCCGTCCCACCCCAATCCCCTGAGCCTGTCTCCAAGGCCCCCTTTCCTCTGATTTCTTTTTTCTTTCTTTCTTTTTTTTTTTTTTTGCATTTATCTTCAGACAGAGTGGGAGGGAGAGAGAGAGGAAGAGAGAGAAATATCGACATGAGAGAGACACATCAACTGGTTGCCAGCCACACGACCCCAACCGGGGCCAGGGACAAACTGCAACGAAGATACATGCCCTTAGCAGGAACGGAATCCGGGACTCTCTGGTCCACAGGCTGATGCTCTAACCGCTGAGCCAAACTGGCCAGGGCTCCTCTGATTTCTCAGTGAGCAAAAGAACCCTGCCTAGGCTCATTTACTTCCTGTAACATTTCTGGAGACCACAGCAGCCCCGCCTAGGCAGTCCTGTTGCTTCTTCTATCCTCAGCCCTTTCTTGTTTCACTGTTTCTAGCTTTAATAAATATGCTCTCAAAATCAAAACATAACCCTGGCCAGTATGGCTAAATTGTTTAAGCATTGTTCCATGCACCAAGAAGTCACTGGTATGATTCCAGGTCAGGGCACATGCCCTGGTTTTGGGCTCCATTCCCAGTAGGGGGCATGCAGATGTTTCTCTCTCTCCCCCCCCCCCCCCCGCCCCTTCTTCTCTCTCTGAAAAATAAATACAAACATATAAAAAAGCCCTGGCCAGTTTAACATATGAAGTGGTTACAGAGTCGGCTGACGGACCAAAGGATTGTGGGTTTGACTCCAGTCAAGGGCACATACCTGGGTTGTGGGTTAGATCCCCGGCCCCAGCAGCAGTCATGCGGGAGGCAGCCAGTCGATGTCCCTCTCACATAGATGCTTCTCTCTCTCTCTCTCCCCCCTCCCTCTCTTCCTCCCTTCTACTCTCTCTAAAAATCAATGGAAAAATATTCTCAGGTGAAGATAAGACAAAATAAAAAAGATCATACACCATAATCAAATGGGATTTATTCCTGGGATACAAAGTTGGATAAGTGTCCACAAATCAATTAATGTGCTACATCACATAAACAAAGTGAAAGATACAAAGGATATGATCATATCAATAGATGCAGAAAAAGCATTTGACAAAATCCAGAACCTACATATAGTTTTATACATGCTCCAGCTCTTGTGAAAACATTCTTACATGTTTGATAGCTAGAGACAGGAAGCTTCTGTAACATGTTGCTTCTATTTACTAAGACTGTAATCTAAACATTGAAACTGTTTGTTACGGAAATTGTATTTGCTAGAACGTTTACCGTAAAAAAACTGAGTTTGTTACTACAAAGCAAACAAAAAGAAAACCCTAGAGAAAGTAGAAGGAAGGAAATAGTAAAGATCAGAGCAGAAATAAATGACATGGAGGCCAAAAACACAATTCAAAGGATCAATAAAACTAAGAGTTGGTTCTTTGAAAAGATAAACAAGATTGATGGACCTTTAGCTAGACTCACCAAGAAACAAAGAGAGAGGACCCAAATACACAAAATCAGAAATGAAAGAGGAGAAACAATAACTCACACCACAGAAATACAAAGGATTGTTAACAAATATTATGAACAATTATATGGCAACAAAGTTGACAATCTAAGCAAAATGGACAAATTTCTAGAAACACATAGTCTCCCAAAACTGAACTGGGAAGAGACAGAAAACCTGAACACACCAATAACAACAACAGAAATTGAAGATGTGATCAAGACTCTCCCAGCAAACAACAGCCCAGGTCTAGATGGCTTCACAGGGGAATTTTACCAAACATTCAAAGAACTAATGCCCATTCTCCTCAAACTATTTCAAAAAATTCAAGAAGAAGGAAGACTTCCAAACTCGTTTTATGAGGCCAACATAATTCTAATTGTAAAACCAGAAAAGGACACTACAAAGAAAGAAAACGACAGACCACTCTCCCTGATGAACACAGATTCCAAAATCCTGAACAAAATACTAGCAAATCGAATCTAGCAATACATTAAAAAAATTATTCACCATGACCAAGTGAGATTCATCCCAGGGAGGCAAGGCTAATACAATATTTGCAAGTCAATAAATGTGATACACCACATAAACAAAATGGAAGATAAAAATCATATGATCATATCAATAGATGCTGAAAAAGCATTTGACAAAATCCAGCACCCATTTCTGATAAAAACGCTCAGCAATGTGGGAATAGAGGGATCATATCTCGACATAATAAAGGCCATATATGAAAGACCTGCAGCCAACATCATACTCAATGGGCAGAAACTAAAAGCATTTCCCTTAAGAACAGGAACAAGAAAAGGATACCCACTTTCACCACTCTTATTTAACATAGGACTGGAAGTCCTAGCCACAGCAATCAGACAGGAAGAAAAAATAAAAGGGATGCAAATGGGAAAGGAGGAAGTGAAACTGTCATTATTCGCAGATGACATGATATTATTCATAGAAAACCCTAAAGACTCCATCAAAAATCTACTAGACTTAATAAATGAATTTGGCAAAGTAGCAGGATACAAAATTAACATCAAGAAATCAACAGCATTCTTATACACCAATGATGAACTCACAGAAAGAGAAACTAAAAAAAAATCCCATTTACCATCGTGGCAAAAAAATTAAGATACCTAGGAATAAACTTAACCAAAGAAATAAGGAACCTATTCACAGAAAACTACAGGTCATTGAAAAAAGAAATAGAGGAAGATATAAAAAGTGGAAGCACATACCTTGTTCATGGATTGAAAGAATTAATATCATTAAAATGTCCATATTACCCAAACAATCTATAGAGTCAATGCAATCCCCATCAAAATACCAACAACATACTTTACAGAACTAGAACAAAAGTTCTATGGTTCAAAAAAGTTCAAAAGTTCATATGAAACCAAAAAAGACCTCGAATAGCCACAGCAATCTTGAAAAAGAAGAACAAAGTAGGAGGGATCACATTACCAGATTTCAGGTTATACTACAAAGCCACTGTAATAAAAATAGCCTGGTACTGGCACAAGAACAGGCATATAGACCAGTGGAACAGAGCATAGAACCCAGAAATGGACCCAAGGCAATATGCTCAATTAATATTTGACAAAGGTGGCAAGAGCATACAGTGGAGTAAGAACAGCCTCTTTAATAAATGGTGCTGGGAAAATTGGACAGCTACATGCAAAAAAAATGAAACTAGACCACAACTTACACCATACACAAGAATAAACTCAAAATAGATAAAAGACTTAAATATGACCCGTGAATTCTAGAAGAAACTGTAGGTTCCAAAATTTCAGACATCATACGCAGCAGAATTTTCACTGATACATCACCTAAGGCAACAGAAACAAAGGAGAAAATGAACACATGGGACTACATCAAACTAAAAAGCTTCTGCACAGCGAAAGAAACAATCATCAAAATGGAAAGGCAACCCACTGTATGGGAGAGCATAATTGCCAATGATATATCAGATAAGGAGTTAATTTCCAATATATATAGAGTGCTCATACAATTCAACAGAAGGAAGACAAAGAACCCAATTAAAAAATGAGCCGAGGACCTAAAGAGACACCTCTCCAAACAGGACATTCAAATGGCTAAGAGACATCTGAAGAAATGCTCAACATCACTAATCATCAGAGAGATGCAAATTAAAACAACAATGAGGTATCACCTCACACCTGTCATCAAACAAGAAGTGTTGGTGAGGGTGTGGAGAAAAGGGGACTCTAATACATTGCTGGTGGGAATGCAGACTGGTGCAGCCACTATGGAAAATACTATGGTGTTACCTCAAAAAATTAAAAATTGAACTGCCATTTGACCCAGTCATCCCACTTCTGGGACTGCACCCTAAGAAGCCTGAAACACAATCAGAAAGAATATATGTACCCCCATGTTCATAACAGCACTATTTACAATAGGTAAGATCTGGAAACAGCCTAAATGTCCATCAGTAGACAAATGGATAAAAAAGCAGTGGTACATATACACAATGGAGTACTATGCAGCTGTAAGAAAGAAAGATCTCTTATCCTGTGAGATGATATGGAGGGACCTGGAAAGTGTCATCCTAAGCAAAACAAGCCAAACAGAGAAAGACAAGTATCATATGATCTCACTTATTTGTGGAATAAAATGAACATAACAATCTGAGGAATGGGGTAGTCCCAGAGATGTGGAAGTGGGTACAGACTGACAATCCCCAGAAGAGGGGGTGGGGGGAGAGATAAACCACAGAACTTATATGCATGTATGCATGAACAATGGACATGGACAACAAAGCTGGGTACGGGGTGGGTAGGGAGAAGGAGGGGGGAATCAATGGGGGGGGAACATCAGTAACAAAAATAAATTAATTTAAAAAAAAACGAAAAAAAAAAACTGAGTCTGTTCACTTGAAGTTTTAAACTATAAGAGGTACACGAAATGGAATTTGTTTCCCAGTTATTTTAGAATTAACCCACAGATGGTGCTCTCACTAACTTTGTTGGAATTAATCTCACCGGTATATAAACAATATAATTTTCCTTGTTAGGAAAAATATTTAGGATTCGTCTCATTATCCATAATACTTTTAAATGAATGTTAGTTAAGGATTTTTTTTAAACTATGTAAAATTACACTCATCTACCAGGCCTTAACTTTGCACTCTGCTCTCCATTGCAACCGTGCAGGTGGAGTGCCATCCGTATTTCACCCAGCCAAAACTCCGGAAATTCTGCCAACAACATGACATTGTCATTGTGGCATATAGCCCCTTGGGGACCTCTAGGAATCCAGCCTGGTAAGAATGCTTATGTCTGTTCAGGAAGTGCTTCCTTTGGTGTTGAGTATGAGGCCAGTGTGAGTTATTTGATTGAAATAACTCTATACAGCTGCGCAATGTTAAGAAAGTTACTTAGTCCAGCCAGTGTGACTCAGCAGTGGAGTGTCAACCCATGCACCAAGAGGTCACCGGTTCGATTCCCGGTCCAAGCACATGCCCAGGTTGTGGGCCAGATCCCCAGTGTGGGGCATGCAGGAGGCGGCCAATCGATGGTCTCTCTCATCGATGTTTCTACCTCTCTGTCTCTCTCTCACTTCCTCTCTCTCTAAAATCACTAAAGGGGAAAAAAATTTTTTTTTTAAGTTACATAACCTCTTCAAGTCATTCTCCACATATGCAAATTGAGCTAAGAAAACCTTCCTCACTTAGATGTTGTAGGAATTGATTATATAATGTACATGAAATTACCTAACAGTGCCTAAAACATAGAAATGCTTCATTAATGCTCATGTATATTATTTGACAGAGTCTCTAGGGCCATATTCTGAAATTGCAGACTTTTTTGATCTCTCAGTCAGTGGCGACACTTCTATGATGTGCTCCATAGACCAAAGTGGAATGCTTTTTACTCTAAGGTGATTCCAAGAGCTGTATCTCTACTTATTCCACTTTAATCTTCCTGCCTTCTCACACATGCCCACTTTCAACTCAGCTCTCTCTGTAAAACACACCAAAACAAAAAAAAAAAAACATTTACTTTCTGAAAAAGGCAGCTCTAGACATTTGCTTCTCTTGATCTTCCCACACTGAGAAGCTCTTCACTGCAGGCTCTGCACTCAGAGAAACTGGTGGCAGATGACCTGAAATACCCTAGCAAGTGACCGGGTGAATGGGAGGACGGAGGAGGATTGATTAACCATTGATTCTCATTGATCAAGCTAAATATAGTGCTTGCTTTTCTTATTTTAAGGGTGAATACAGCTTCCCCGCCTTTGTTAAAAAATGAACTTCTAAACTCATTGGGAAAAAAGTACAACAAGACAGCAGCTCAAGTTGCTTTGCGTTTCAACATCCAGCGAGGGGTGGTTGTCATTCCTAAAAGCTCTAACCCTGATAGGATCAAAGAGAACTTCCAGGTAAGAGAACTGCTTGTAAAAATGTAAAACACCGGGTATATTTATTATTTAAAGAAGTTTCTGTTTAGATTATTAAGAAACTTAGAATGCCTCCATATTTTATTTTATACCAACTCCCTGACCTACTCTGCCCATATTTGGATTTAATTTTAGCTGAATTGGAGACAATTCCTAGTTCTTCTGGGATTGCATTGCTGCTTGTACATTACAGACATACTTTGGGAATACTGCAGGTGCCATTCCAGACCACCGCAATAAAGCGTGTATTGCAATACAGCAAGTTACACAATTTTGTTCCTTTCCTAGTGCATATAAAAGTTATGTTTACACTATACTGTGGTCTATTAAGTGTGCAATAGCATTATGTCTAAAAATGTACATACCTTAATTTAAAAAGATTTTATTGCTAAGAAATGCTAACCATCATCCGTGCCTTCAGCGAGTCATAATCTTTTTGTTGATGGAGGGTCTTGCCTCAAGGTCAGTGGGCTGCTGGTGGTTGCTGAAGGTTGGGATGGCTGTGGCAATTTCTTAAAATAAGAAAACAATGGCCCTGGCCAGTTTGGCTCAGCGGTTAGAGCGTCGGCCTGCGGTCCGGAGAGACCCGGGTTCGGTTCTCACTGAGGGCACGTACTTCGGTTGCAGTTTGTCCCCGGCCCTGGTTGGTCGTGCGGGTGGCAGCCACTCGATATGTCCCTTCACGTCGATGTTTCTCTCTTTCTCTCCCTTCCTCTCTCTCCCTCCCACTCTATCTGTACAAAGAATGGAAAAATGTCCTCAGGTGAGGATAAAAAAAAATTTTTTTAAAAGAAAACAATGGCCTAGCCAGTGTGGCTCAGTAGTTGAGCATCGAATCATGCACCAAAAGTTCACCTGTTCAATTCTCGGTCAAGGCACATGCCCAGGTTGAGGGTCTGATCCCCAGTGGGGGGCATGCAGGAGGCAGCCAATCGATGTCCTCTCTCATTAATGTTACTATCTCTCTCTCCCTCTCCCTTCCTCTCTCTCTAAAAATCAATAAAGAAAAAAATTTTTTTAAAGAAAACAATGATGTTTGCCATATTGATGGATTTTCCCTTTCATAAACAATCTCTGTTACATGTAATGCTGTTTGATGGCATTTTACCCACAGAATTTCTTTCAAAATTGGAGTGAATCCACTCAAACTCTGTTTTGTCAACTAAGTTCATGTAATATTCTAAATCCTTCATTGTCATTTTAACAATATCGACAGCATCTTCACCAGGAGTTGTTTCCATCTCCTTTTTTTTATCCTCACCCGAGGACATTTTTTCCATCTATCTTCAGGTAGAGAGAGAGAGAAACATTGACGTGAGAGGGACACATCGACTGGTTGCCTCCCACACAACCCAACCAGGGCCAGGGACGAACCGCAACCCAGGTACATGCCCTTGGCTGGAATAGAACCCAGGACTCACTGGTCTGTGGGCCGACGCTCTACCGCTGAGTCAAACAGGCCAGGGCTGTTTCCATCTCAAGAAACCACTTTCTTTGCTCATCCATAAAAAGCAACTCCTCATCCATTAAAGTTCTGTCATAAGATTGCAGCCAATCGGTCACATCTTCAGGCTCCACTTTTGATTCAAGTTCTCTTGCAATATTTCCATCACATCTGTGATTACTTCCTCCACTCAAGTCTTGAAACCCTTAAAGTTGGCAATGAGGCCCTGGCTGGTTTGGCTCAGCGGTTAGAACGTCAGCCAGTGGACCAGAAAGTCCGGGGTTCGGTTCCCGCTAAGGGCACGTACCTCGGTTGCAGTTTGTCCCCAGCCCCGGTTGGGGTTGTGTGGGTGGTGACCACTCAATGTGTCTCTCTGACATCAATGTTTCTCTTTCTCTCTCCCACTCTATCTGAAGATAAATGCAAAAATGTCCTCAGGTGAGGATAAAAAAAAAAGTTATCAATGAGGGTTGGATCAACTTCTTCCAAATTCCTATTAATGTTGATATTTTACCTGTTTCCATGAACCATGTTCTTAAAGGCATCGAGAAGGTGAATCCTTTCCAGAAGGTTTTCAATTTACTTTGCCAGATCTTTCAGACTCGCCTTAAAACAACAAATTTTGCTGGGTGTTCAAACCAAAACTCAACAGAATTCATTTTTTAGAACTGAGATAAAACAAATCTTGAAATATATTTTAAAAGATAGTCAAGATTGGTCTGCACGGGGAGAAGCCAGGGCCTCCAGACCACAAGGGCCTGGCTCGGGTCTTCTCCAAGGCCATGGCGGCTTCCGTGGGCCCTGAGTTTTGCCCCACTCACCCTGGGAAGGCTTCAGCATGTCCTGGAAGAGAATGTGGCCAACTTGCTGGTTTTGCATCTCTTTTTTTTTTTTTTTTTTTTATCCTCACCCCAGGACATTTTTCTATTTTTTGTTCAGGTAGAGTGCGGGGGAGAGAGAGGACGAGAGAGAGAGGGAAACATCTATGTGAAGGGACACATCGAGTGGCTGCCACCCGCACAACCCCAACCAGGGCCGGGGACAAACTGCAACCGAGGTGCCCTTAGTGGAAACTGAACCCGGGTCTCTCCAGACCGCAGGCCGACGCTCTAACCGCTGAGCCAAACCGGCCAGGGCTGGTTTTGCATCTTTAAGGGACATCCAGGGCCCTCCCGCTTCTCCTTGGCCAACTCGGAGGAAGTGGCCCACGCCCCCCAGAGCCACATGGGCTCGGTGGAAACAGAAGCCCGGAGAGATTTTTACAAAGCTGCATCCGTGAGGTCTCTCGAGTAGCTGTCAACCAAATGCTACTTCACCCCTACATGCGACTCCCTTCTGAGCCTCCACCATTGGCCTTGCCTCCCCATGAGGCCCCTCCCCAGCAGGAAGCAGCCAGACAGAAAACAGCACCCACATCTAACACAAAAGGTCTGAACGTAAGGTCAGCGGGCTCCCAGGAGTCACATGAAAACCAAAGTTGATTCATTTTATTTACAAAATTTAGGTTAAAATCACATATGCACACTAAATCTTAGAAGAAACAGAGTGAATTAGTGTTGATTTTTTTTAAATTGGTTTTTCCTTTATTGATTTTAGAGAGAGAGGAAGGGAGAGAGAGATAGAAACATTGATGAAAGAGAACATCGATTAGCTGCCTCCTGCACGCCCCCCAGTGGGGATCGGGCCCACAACCTGGGCACGTGTCCTGAGTGGGAATTGAACTGGTGACGTCTTGGTGTATGAGTCGATGCTCAACCACTGAGCCACACCAGTCGGCCAGTGTTGATTTCTTAAATATACACTTCACAAAATTATATAACATAACATGACATCCTTTACTCTACAAAGGTTTTTGTAAAGTGATCATAAAAACAATAATTTTGGTAAAGTTTCAGAGGGCTTCATGACAAGGAAATTCTTCATCCCTTTTTATTCAAATCATACCCCTTTGATACATCTAGTAAAGTAAATTTTAACTGTCAGATTCTTATTTGAAGAAAATAAGGTTCCTATAAATAGAGCAAACCTCCAACATCACTTTTTTTTTTTTCCAAATCTTTATTGTTGGATGTAAAATGTATTACAGATGTTCCACATTTTTCCCCCATTGACCCCCTCCTCCCTATTCCTGCCCCCCTCCCACCTTTTCCCACACTATTGTCTGTGTCCGTTGGTTATGCATATAAGTTCTTTGGTTTATTTCTTCCCACCCCCCACCCCCAACCCCTTTCCCTTTGAGGTTTGTCAGTCTAGCAATGAATTTGTACTTCTTAATCTCTTCACCTTTTTCACCCATTCCCCCAACCCCCCTCCCAACTGGCAACCAACAAAATGTTCTCTGTATCTATGAGAATGTTTCTGTTCTACCTGTTCATTTTGTTTGTAGATTCCATTGTTGATAGATATGTATTCATTGCCATTTTGTTTGTTCATATATTTTATCTTTTTCTTCAAAAAGACCCTTCATCATTTCATATAATAACGGTTTGGTGGTGATGAACTCCTTTAGCTTTTTCTTGTCTGGGAAAGTTTTTATATGTCCATCGATTCTAAATGACAGCTTTGCAGGATAGAGTAATCTGGGTTGTAGGTTCTTGCTTTTCATCACTCTGAATATTTCTTGCCACTCCCTTCTGGCCTGCAAAGTTTCTTTTGAGAAATCAGCTGACAGCCTAATGGGAACTTCCTTGTAGGTAACTAGCCGCCTTTCTCTTGCTGCTTTTAAGATTCTCTCTTTGTCTTGAACCTTTTGCATTTTGATGATGATGTGTCTTGGTGTGGGCCTCTTGGGGTTCATCTTGTATGGGACTCTCTGTGCTTCCTGGACGTGTATGTCTGTTTCCTTCACCGTTAGGAAAGGTTTCTGCCATTATTGTTTCAAACAGGTTTTCGATTTCTTGTTCTCTCTCTTCTCCTTCTGGCACCCCCAAGATGCGAATGTTGGCACGCTTGAAGTTGTCCCAGAGGCTCCTTATACTATCCTCATTTTTTGGATTTCTTTTTTCTTTTTGCTGTTCTGATTGGGCATTTTTTGCTTCCTTATATTCCAAATCGATGGTTTGCTCCTTGGATTTACGTACTCTATTATTGAAGCTGTGTAAATTATTCTTTATTTCAGTTAATGCCTCCTTCAATTCTAACTGTGTATCCATGATTTCTAACTGGTCCTTTTTTATGCTCTTGAGGCCCTCACTAAGTTCACTGAGGTTCTCACTGAGTTCATTGAGCATCCTTATAAGCAGTATTTTGAACTCAGTATCTGTTAGGTTGCTTATCTCCATTTCGCTTAGTTCTTTTCTTGGGGTTTTGTTCTGTTCTTTCATTTGGGACCTGTTTCTTTGTCTCCTCATTATGGCTGCCTTCCTGTGTTTGTTTCAGTGTATTACTTAACGAGAGGTATGGGGCTCGCTGAGACCAGATGCTGCTCGTTTGAAAGAATTTAGGAAAAACCTGAAGCAGGATCCAAGTCAGGCCAATCCTATGGTTAAGCAAGTGGCAACAGCTTGGGTGTGCCTGAAAGTTGGGTGGAGCGGGGTCTCAGGGAGTCAGCAGGGCGGGGCTACCAGTGTGAGCCAGGTTGCTGGAGTCCCAGATATGGCAGCTGTCTGCCGCCCCCGGGAAGGGCTCACCAAAGGAACAAAGGCCTCTTACAGCACGTATGTCCCGGAGAAAGCCCCCTCTCCAGTGCCAAACAGCTCAGTTCTCCCCTGTATGACTCTGGTGCCCCTCAAGCTGCATCCCTCCAAGCTTAGAGGGAGAGAGTCCGATAAGTCCATGCGCGGGCCCTTTAAGGAGCTGCCTGGGGCTCCAGCCGTGTCAGCTTCCCTGAGCCTCAGTTCCCGCTGGTTTTTCCAGCCAGAAGTGATGGATATTCTCTTCCTGGCACTGGGACCCTGAGCGGGGAACCTGGTGTGGGACGGGGACCCCTCAGCCCTCAGGGAGGACCTTCCCAGCCGAGGTGTCCTCCTGATTTTTATCCGCCACACGTGGGTGTGGGACCAGCCCCTCGGCCCCTCCTACCAACCTGGATGTGGCTGCTGCTTTAATTCCGTAGTTGTATGACTGCCATTCAGCTGGATTTCAGCCAGTTTTGAATGATGGTTGTTCTGTAATTTAATTGTAACTTTGATGTGGTTGTGGGAGGACGTGACACCGCGTTTACCTACCCGCCGTCTTGACTGGAAGTTCCAACATCACTTTCATTGACTTCATGAAATCCTGCATCTCTGGCAGGATTTGCAACTTCACTTTGCCATTAGGATACATTGTGTATTCGCTGGAATTCGACTGACTTTGCTACTCAGAGGATGGGAAAAAAAAACAAAACAAAAAAAAGGAAGTTTGAGTAAGGATTTATTTTATGATTGGTTCTTTCGTGACTGTTTCTATGTTATGAAAATTTTTTATTTCTTATACAACCTCATAAACTCCAATACTTGGATAATAAATAATCAAAGAAAGAGTTCCCTGAAGGGGGGGAAAAAAAAGACCCTTCGAAATAATCTATGGTGAAACAATTACGTCGATTGTGTTACATTTATGCTATGGATACAGAGGTCAATCATGGATAAAGTTAGGCTATATATTTTGACAGAAAAGATCACCAAGACATATTCTTTGAATGAAAGTGGCAGAATAATAAAGATGCAATACAATTATTGCCTGTTACTCACTGAGTACTGAATGTTTGGAAAGAATGCCTGGGAAGGGGACTAGGACCGGGGTGGTGGGTATTTATTTATTTATTCCATACATGTCCATGCACTGCTGTAGTGTTTTCTTGCTTTACAAAGAACATATATTTACATATTACTTACATAATTAAAGATTGCAAATGGTTAAATAAACTAAAAAATTTAAAGAATAGAAAGATTTGCCCTGGCCGGTTTGGCTCAGCAGTTAGAGCGTCGGCCTGCGGTCCAGAGAGTTCCGGGTTCGGTTCCTGCTAAGGGCACGTACCTTGGTTGCAGTTTGTCCCCGGCCCTGGTTGGGTCAGGGCAGTGTGAGAGGCAGCCATTCGATGTTTCTCTCTCGCTCACTCTTCCTCTCTCTCCCTCCCACTCTATCTGAACAAAAAATGGAAAAATGTCCTCGGATGAGGATAAAAACAAAACAAAAAGAATAGAAAGATTTTTAAAAATAAGAGAAGATAAATTATAAGCCAAGTGTTAAAACTATAAATAAGCTAAAATAAAATATTAAAATGTTAATAAAAGATGATCATAAAACCAGAGTATAAAGTATACAGGGTAAGAAAAAAAACTAAAACAAGGAAAATGTAATAAGAAAAGATAGAAAAAAAGACATTACAAATGATGAAAGAAATGATTAAGAGGACAAAACAAAACAAATTAAAAGTGGGTTTTTGTTTTTTTTAAGTACAAAAGCAAATTTAGACACAAGGGAATATATATATATAATCTTCACCGGAGGATATTTTTCCATTTATCTTCAGAAAGAGTGGGAGGGTGCAGGAGAGAGAGAAACATCGATGTGAGAGAAACACATCGACTGGCTGCCTCCCACACAATCCAGGAACTAACCACAACCGAGGAACGTGCCCTTGACTGGAATTGAACCCATGACTCATTGGTCCATGGGCTGGTATTCAAACCACTGAGCCAAATTGGCCAGGGCACAAGGGAATATTTTTTAAGTGTACAAAGGCCAGAATCAAAAGTTCAGCATCTTATCCAGAAATAATAAGAATTCTTCACTCTTAGAATTTCAGATGTCCTGAACATACATTGTTTTATGACATTCGGAACTTCTTACAAAATGTCCCCCGCAGAACTGTCTTAAGACAAAGCACAGAAGAGAATTCCTGCTCCACTCTGGCTAGGTGGACTCCAGTGCTGGTCCAACTCCTCTGAGACATCTGCAGAAATGTTCATAAATCTAAGGTTTTCAACTGCTGGCCCCACTCCTTGATCCAAGCTTGACCCATTTCCCATCATTCTAAATGTCTGTCTTTTATTTCCATTACTTCAGATCTTTGACTTTTCTCTCACTGAAGAAGAAATGAAGAACATTGAAGCCTTGAATAATAATATCCGCCTAGTGGAAATGCTCCTGTGAGTTCTGGGGGATCATTGATCAGGTGTGACCCGGTGGTGTTGGATTGCCCAATGTCGACCAAGAGGGCTCTTGTGACCTTGACCCACGTCCACAGAAAGCACACGGCTAGGGGCAACTGGGCAGCATATTCTGAATATTAAATAGATCTGGGTAAATTATATTCATTGTAGGAACTTCCTGAAAATCTACATTTTTATTTAAAAGAAGATTTCTGACATTTATATGACGTCTCATCACAGGGTACGACCCAGCAGGTTAAACACCTTGAGAAGAATTTAGTCATAGTGTACATACAATACAATACAAATTAACACAATATTTATTGAAACACCGTATGTATTTCTTCCTAAAAAATCAAAGTGATGTACAAATTTGAGCAAAGTTATCAACAACAACAACAAAAAAACAATTTCTGGGACAGAGACATGAGAGTATTAGAAACAGCACCAGGGTGGGAGCCAAGAAACTAGTTTTATTTTATATTGTTGACACTGTTACAGATGTACCCCATTTCCCCCCTCCCTGTGCCCACCTCCATCCAGCCCCCAGTACCCTTCCTCTGGCCATCATTACACTTTGTCTGTGCCCAAGGGTTATGCATATATGTTCTTTGGCTAATCCCTTCACCTCAAGAAGCTAGTTTTAGACTAATGCTCACCTATAAGATTTGAAGCTTCTGTCAGTCCAGTGTGGCTCTGTGGGTTGAGCATCATCCCATGGACTGAGAAGTCCTGGTTCGATTCCCGGTCAGGGCACATGCCTGGGGTGCAGGCTCTATCCCCATTGGGGTGTGCAGGAGGCAGCACATTGATGTTTCCCTCTCACATCAATGTTTCAATTTCTCCCTTCCTCTCTTTCTAAAAAATCAATAAAAACATATTTTAAAAGGAAAAAGATTTCAAGCTTCTAGCTCTACCATTCTGGCTTCAACCACAAGCAAAATTCCTTGCACTCCTTCAGATGTTGCTAGATTCAGCTAATTAGTGAGGTAGCCCTTCATTCTCTAAATATTACAAGTCCTTTAAAATACAAAGAGAATATATATACACCAACACACAATTTTTTCTTCTTAATCATTCTTTTTTTAAAATTTTTTTTCTTCATTGATTTGAGAGGGAGAAGGAGAGGGAAATAGAAACATCGATGAGAGGGAACATCAATTGGCTGCCTCCTGCATGCCCCCCACTGGGGATCGGGCCCACATCCTGGCATGTGCCCTGACCAGGAATGGAACCAGCAACCTCTTGGTGCATGGGTTGATGCTCAACCACTGAGCCACTCTGGGTGGGCTCTTTTGAACCATTCTTTATTAGTATTTCCAGTTCTTCAGATCACCTGCATAGTCGTCGTCTTTTTTAAAATTCCTCTCTTAAAGTGAACATTGATAAATATTCATTAGAATGGTTCATGTATTTTGGACACTGTTGGCCCCATTTTATTTCAAGAGTCAGAAACTGTTCTGGCTGTGCTGATATCAAATTTCTGAATGCATTTCTGAATTAATAAAACAGCTTCCAAGGTACCACTTGCCTCGAGAATGAGGCAAGTGGTTTTTGTGTGTGTGTGTAGACATAAACTTGGAACCAGGAAACACATAGGTTAATTAATAGCTCTTGAAGATAAGTCATTTCTATTGACTAAATATCATTAAATTAAGAGGAGATCGTAAGATATAGTCAATCCACCAATGTACTTTTTTTTTTTTTACAGTTAGTTGGTAACATTATTTGTTTTGACATTTGACATATTTAATATCTAATTCTAGAAACACTGAGAAAATAACTTATCATACCAGGAACAGAAAGTCAGCAAGGGAGAAACAAAAATTAGGTCCCATGAGTCAAAAAAGTATATTATTTAGGCATGCTGGGCCATGATTCTTTTTTTGTTTGTCATCTAGTTAACCCTTGACTAGATTTCACTGCCTTTTCTGTTTTAATTTAATTTATATTTTAATTTAAAGCTCACAGCACTTGTAGAGAACTGAGTCTTAGATATGTTCCATGACAGGTGCACGCGCGCACATACACACACACACACACACACACACACACACACACACCAGTCCTTTTAAAGACTGTTTCACCGTCGCTGTTTAAGAGATAGGTTCACCATCATCACTGTCCTCATCGTAGCAAAAACTTACTTCACTGGCCATCACCTTCTAGATCTCAAACTAGCAACTCTCAGGAGGCCTAGTGAGGAAGGCAAGGAAGAACTGGGAAGAGGAGGGTGACCCTGACTGGTGACAGCTTGAAGAGAAATGTCCATGTGGTTCGCTGACATGAGTGGCCTGCATCGGGATGGGGGTGGGGGGAAGGGATGGAAAGGGGCAGCTTCACTCACCTCCCAGGTTTTTGTTCTGAGCAAAATGTGCTGTGGAGGCAGCCAGCCCCCTCCCCCCACCCAGCCCACGCCCCAAACACACACACACACACACACACACACACACACACACGTAAGCCCAGGTACCCCCTCTCCAGGGCTCAGGAACAGTGCCGGCTGGGTGAGAACTGGGAGGAGGTGGGTAAGACCCAGAAGAAATGACTGAGAGAGGGAGAGGCCAGGGAAGAGGTCCGAGGATGCCAGTAACACATACAGCTGTGAGACTCTGGAGTGACATTTTTCCCTTCGGGGACTTGTTTTGCAGATGGTGTGATCATCCCGAATACCCATTCCACGAGGAGTACTGACTTGGGGGAGCCCTGAACAGATCCTTCCCTCCAGTGTGCCCCAGCAGTGCTGGCGGGGTGGTTCCCCCAGACGTGAAAACAGAAAGGGTCTTACTCTCCTCAGATGAAGTGGTGACGGGCTTAACTTCAGTGTCATATGAGGGACTTTGACTTAGCTGTGATGCAGAAAACAATGCTAAATCTCTTGAAATAATGGTTTGAAAGTAATTAAGGGGTCGGCAAAGCCATAATGATGTGCTGGTTGGTTGTTTGTTTCCATCCAATGTGTGTTTGATTTGTTTTTACCCAGTTTTAGGGATGGATAACTGCACACTTGAACGGGCCTGAGGTTCAACATAACTGCTAATCCGTACTTACTCTGTCCATCACTCATGCCCGCGTGCATCATACGACCACCAGGATGCAGCATGGCTGGAGGCTCTCAACATCCAGAAATAAAATCCTGTACTGTAAGACGGTCCAAAGATAACGATTTTAAAAGAAGCCATTTGGGAAAAAAAAAAAAAAAAAAAAGGCTTTTGGAAATATATTGAAAAAAGAAGCTTATAAAAGTATTATACTTAATACTTTAAAAGTGTTATTAGAACAATTTTGTAAATTTCAAGAGAGCAAGTTCCAAAGAACACTGGCAATTTTACTGTAAGTTTCTTAAGTGAATAAGAAGTTATTAGAATTCTGCAATAGAGACATACCTATTTTCAATTCCACTAAAGCAATATATTTTCTTCATTTATGTTAGGTCACTTTCACAGGGCAAGCGAGGTCTTTTTTTTTTTTTTTTAAGAACTATCTCTTTATTTGAAAAATATATAACCCAAAAGTTTCCAACTTCTTGTACCTGTTGAAATCTTTCAATAAAGATCTCTTGGCTACAAAATATGGTCCGAGTGGCTCAACACTAATTCTATTATATATTTATTCTAAAGTCACTTATTTTGAAAATCTGAAGTTTTTTTTTATGGTTAAAAAATACCATCAAGTTGAAATGTTTTTATTTTGCTAATGTACAAACAGAATATGACAGTCCACTTTTTATGGTTTCTAAACACAACTGATGATTTCCGTAAGATGCTGTTGACCGTCAGAGCAGGGCCCCATCTTCTGTGAAAGCCCAACCTGCCTTCTTCCCACCCACCGAAGAAACTTCTCTTTTCAGAAGTCTTGTCGGATGTTTACTTCATTGGCCTCTCCATGTTGCTGCTTCATTTGAAAGACTTCATTTTCTAATTGCACAATAGTCCTTTCAATCTCATAATTCCTACTGACCAGGGCTACCCAATTCCACTCCATTTCTCTTCATTCAGATCCAGCTGTGAGTTGCATGTTCTTCCGCTGCCAGTTTAAATCTTGAATATGTTTCCTTACCTTCTGGAGCTCTTTCTGTGCATGTTCAATCATATGGACTAGATTTTCATTATATTGTTTCCAGGCATTGCATCCATGCTGTGACATTAGTTCCAGATTCTCAATTCGAACTGCTCGATGCTCTAACTGGGCCATAGAATTGTTTCCACATTCTTGCCATGCGGTAATATCATTTTTCTGACCCGAGGATGGGGCTGGAAGTTGGTATTGTTTCATACTGAGCCATTCAATTGGCTGTCGGGCAACCAGTCTTTCAAATTCATTTCTCACTATGTTGGTTTCAAAAGCAGAATAATCCGGGGCTGTCAGGTAGCTCAGGCAGTCCTTAGCAGGTCGGTGTCTGTGAGTTTCTTCCTCCACCAGCGCATCAGCCGCTTCCCGCACACCAGGCGCATCATAACCTTGGTCAAAATAGGGCAGTGCGCCTGCCACAACCTCCCCAGCCACCAAACCCGTGCCCGCCATTCTTAAGTGAGCCTGTTTTCTGCAAGTGAGGTCTTAAAATATCATGTCTGTCCAAACCAGTTGCTTACAGGTAATCCTCAATGACCTGAAAATGTACACGTCTGAGAAATTATCACTTTTTAAAACATTTGATCTCTACTCATTATTTCCACTGACTCCAATATTAATACTTATAACGCTGTCCTCTGGGAAATATTTAGTTCACAAAAATTAATAAACCATGACGATTTGCGCCACCACAGGAATCTCCATTTTGTTGCAGGGCTGGTTGGCTGGTCATGAATTCGAGTCCATCGAAAGACCTTTGATCAAGTTCCTACTGCACGTTTAGCCCTGGGGAGACGAGAGAAAAGGACCACAGACATGGAAAGAGCGGACACTCGAGTCCTGATCTCTGTTGTCAGACCCCTTCCAAGTATTTTGAGGGCGCTGGGGTAGAGGAGGGACCACACCTATCAAACCATTTTATAAGCCAGGCATTGGAGAAACAGTCCCACCATTTGTCAGGGGGAAATGTGTATAGGTCAGGAAAGAATGACAGTGATATGAGCTTCTGCATGTCCCTCCCCCCGCTCTCACTCCTCTCAAGCTTCCCATCTATTTTGGGGTGAACTGTATCCCCGAAATTCTTATGTTAAAGTCCTAGCCCCCTGTACCTCAGAATGTGACCTTATTTGAAAATAAAGACATTGCAAATGTAATCAGTTAAGATGAGGTCATTAGGGTGGTATCCAATATGATTGGTATCCTTATGAAAAGGGGAAATTTGGACTCGGACACTCACACAGGAAGGTCACGTGCAAACAAAGGCAGAGATCAAGGTGATGCTTCTACAATAAAAGAACCTCAGGGATTTGCAGCCACCTGCCGGGAGTTCAGGAAGAAGCATGGACCAGTTTCTCCCTCGTGGCCTTTAGGGAGAACCAACTCCACTGACGCCTCGAGAATCATGAGATAATAAATTTCTGTTGTGGAAGTCACCCATTTTGTGGCACTTTATTACAGCAACCCTAGCCAATTCTTACACCGTCCCTCAGTCAAGATGTCTGGCCTCTGCAACTGAAGGGAATGATAAACGTGGTCTGACTTGCCCAGGTTGTGGGCCAAATCCCCAGTGGGGAGCATGCAGGAGGCGACCAGTCGATGTTCTCTCTCATCAATGCTTCTATATCTCTCTCCTTCTCACTTAATCTCTCTCTAAAATCAATAAAGTGGGGCAAAAATTTTTTTTTTTAAAATGGTCTGACTTAGTCAAAGTTTTGCCCTGCTCAGACACTGATGGCCAACAATAATAATAATATATATTTAATCCTCACCTGAGGACCCTTTTCCATTGATTTTCAGATAGAGTGGGAGGAAGGGAGAGAGAAACATCAGTGTGAGAGACACATCAGTTGGCTGCCCCCTGCATGACCCTATACAGGGCCAGGGATCAAACTGCAACCAAGGTACAACCGGAATCGAACCTGTGACCTTTTAGTCTGTGTGCCAATGTTCTAACCATCAAGCCAAACTGGCCAGGGCGATGGCCAATAATTTGGACCCTCCTTGGGACTTCTGTAATCTGGAAAGGAGAAGAGGCCAAAAGCCTATGGGGCTCACTGATCCATAAAAACACAGGGACAGGAGCAGCAGGGACTTCCTGCCCCAGCCTGCAGAATGCTTCTTGATCTGCCTAATCCTGCCTGTCCTTCTGGAGGGCCCCCCCTCAGCACTGTCCCCCACAGGGAGGGGCCAGGAGAGGGACACGAACAATGATCCCCCTTCAGCAGCCTTCAACACTTGGAGATGTGCACACTTTATGGCCACAGTTATGGGACTTAATAAAGGTTGAGCAAAATCCTATTTCCCGGGCTCGGTATTTCTCAGCACTCCCTAGCAATTCCAGGCTGCTGCTGATGCTTCCATTTCCGGTAACTGTAGACTCGTAACTGTAGACCAGATGTCTCCTAGAGCCCTGGTCCTTGAATGTATAAAGTCTCCCTGAAAACAGCAGACTTCATGTTTCCACCTCCAGACACCAAATCCCCAAGTTCCCACTTCTCTGGGCTGGGGCAGGGGGTAGGAGGAATAGATGATCACTTTTATTTATTTCTTTATTTTTAGTTTTTTATCCTCACCCGAGGACATTTTTCCATGTTTTGTTCAGATAGAGTGGGAGGAAGAGAGAGGAAGAGAGAGAGACAGAAACATCAACGAGAAAGGAACACATCAAGTGACTGCCTCCCGCAGGACCCCAACCAGGGCCAGGGATGGACTGCAACCGAGGTCCAGGCCCTTGACCAGAATTGAACCTGTGACTCATTGGTCCACGGGCCGACGCTCTAACCACTGAGGCAAACCAGCCAGGGCTAGATGATCACTTTTAATCATAATCCACTTCTGGACACTGTGTTTTAGCCCATTTGAGAGCTGAGATGCAGAATATGGGGGCAGGGAATCACAAATACCCAGGTAGGGTCCCCCTTACATGTGGCTATTGGCAAATCTTCCTTCAAGGGCTCTGCAGATGGGAGATTCCAAAACGGCGGCGGAGTGAACGGAAGCTGCACAGACCGTCTCCCAGGACCAAACTGGAATTATAACTAACACACAGACAAATCGACGGAAAAAAGCAACAGGAAAGCAGCTTGTGAGGACCATATAACCAGGGACACTGACTCAATCCTGCTAGGATTGCGAAGGCAGGCGCGAGACAGGGGCTGGGAGCCCACGGTCAGCAGCTCTGCAGTGGCCTTGGCTGGGAGCAGAGCCCTCGGGTCACACTCCCAGGCGGCTCCACAGCGCAGCCGGGACAGAGGCTAAAACAGCCACAGCACTCACCTTGGGCTCCGGCAGAGGGAGGGCCGACTGGACTGGAACTGTGTGGGGACACTCGGGATTTGGAGGGCGCTCAGAGCTTTTGCTGAGTTGACCACGCAGGACTGTGGTCATCTTACTCCTTCCCAGGGCAGCCCCTCCCTCGGAGATTCAACTTCAGCCTGTGGGCCATAGAAATGCAAATTGCGGCTCATTAACAACCAGCATCTGCCCCACCCTCACGAAATCCCCTTATGCTGAGCAACTGAGGGAATTTTTCTTTTCTTTTTTTTAAATCTTTATTGTTGGATGTAAAATGTATTACAGATGTTCCACATTTTTCCTCCATTGACCCTCCTCCCCACTCCCGC